AGGTCAATTGTGGGCGTTTGATAGACTCACCTTTAGCCAAACATGACACAGAGCGGCGACCTCTGCTTTGCAGCGAGTTAGTCAGTTATCAATGGCTGATAAAAGACGTACGCGGGTGGTTGCTGGCGGCGGCGCGGCGACTGCGGTGGCGGTGGATGCAGAAGGCACAAAAGTCACCCGGTTTGCGTTTGTGCAAAAACGAAAGAAATTAAACGATAATTTGTTGTGAGCGGCAGACGCGACTCCGACTCCGACGCCAACTCCAACTGCGACTGCGACGCTAACGCTGACGTTGGCGACGGCCGTGCAGAGTGCTCACTGTCTCTGTCTGACTGACTGTCGCTCGCTCCCTCGCTGACTCGCTCACTCTCGTCGCGCTTGTTGGCTTGTGTTGTGTTTGTTGGTTTTGTTTGTTCTTCTTTGCTTCGCCTTTTACTTTACAACGCGTTGTTGCATGCTGCACATTTCACTTATTTTAATCACGAATGCATTTTATACGCCGCTTTATTTTCAATTTGTATTTCACTGTTATGATTGCGGCAAATGGCATTCGTCTTGGTTTTATTCTCGTGTTTGCTTTACACGGCTATCCTGCGTGGGCAAGGATATAATTTTCTTTTTCTATGGAGGAAAGTTGTAAGCATAATACGCGTTACATCTTATTTCTCTTTTGCTAATTCAACGCCCAGTAGCCCAGCTAAGTTGTGCGTTGATTATTTTTTATATTTTCACTACATATTTGTTAGTTTTAAATAATTTTCACGCACCGCTAGCAAGCGCAGACACGCTCAAATTTTCTCAAATATCAACTAAGCCAGAATTAGTATGACCGCTGTGATATTACCGAAAAATACCAGCTTCAACACAATTTTAGTATTTTTACGCGATTCGCCATATGGAAATGCTAGCAACATGTCGCTTAAAACTTATCAATGTGACCAGCAGTTGCTTGTGTAAGAAATCCATATTCCCTTTCATTAGTGTTGACAACGCCCGCCGCTTAGTAAATAACTTCTTATGTGTATCGTATTTTAGCTATAGATGGCGCCATTTGCATGTTCGCCATCTATGGAAATATTGAGAAAGTAGTTTTTATTTTTGATGATATGGCATTGCTTGATAATTTATTTGAATACATTGTATATGCATATTTAAAAAATAGCGTTAAAGATGTAATGTAAGCTGCAAATAAATAAAACAACTTAAATAAAAACGCATTTAAAAGTTCAACAGAAAAATATACAGTTTCCGAGTATGTAAATATATGCAATGTCTATTGGAGCTTTAGGCATCAAGTTATTTATAGTTAATGTTTCCCAATTTGCTTATTTTAGGTTTACATAGGTTGCAAATAAAACATACTCTTTTATATTGGTGGCACATGGGCTGATAATAAAGCAATAAACTCTATATCGAATCATGTAAGTTTACGAATCATTTATGCATAAAATTAGATAAATCCTTTTTTCTATCAACGTAATGAATTCTCGATGCAATTGTCGGGTCACAAAATCATAACAAATCATAACAACTACTGTGTTCTTGTTTCGGGCCTGGTTTTTCAACAACAACAATTCACGTTCCGCGATCAAAGCGAGCGAAAACACTTCAAAGGTCAATATATTTCGTGAGCTATACTGAAATTACATAAGTTGTAACAGTAGTTCGTGCCGGGACGCATTGTTCATTCTTTTATTCAGATAGTTTTCTGTTGAAAAATGGCAGTTGAAAAGCAATTGGGAAGCTATTTGTTAATTGGCAAATACAAGCGTTTGCAACGTACACTTAAGTAATTCTTATTAATTTTTCGGCAGGGACTTGGCAGTCTTTCTCGATACGTTCTCAAGTGCACAACAATATGTGTTCTAGTACCTCAGTGCCGCATTCGCGTTTTAAATGGTTCGCTATCTTTTGCCTTCTAATGTTTCTCGTGTACTATATTACCAATAAAGATATAAGCTCAAATTATGACAGCCAAATGACTGAGCTGGTATCGGGTAAAACGGAAATCGAAGCGAACACTGTAAAAGTTGATAAAAGTGTAAATCATGCTCTTCTCAACAAGACCAATGATGGCAAAGAAAAAACAGTAATGCCACAGCCTCTGTACTATGTCGATAGCGCACAGTGCAGAATGCCTTCTGTTGATCCCTTCTCAAAGGACGCAATGGAGGTATACAAGCCAATGGTGTTCGAGACATGCACAAATGACTCGGATCTAATTACACCTATCTTCGATTTCAACCGCAAGCGTTATGTGCTCCGGATTAATGAAACTGTCGCAGCGAAGCTTCTCAATTCCAGTGAAACTGAATTCAATTGCTACTACCAGGAAATAACGAGATATGCAGAGCACGACAGTTATAACGAGTAAGATTCAGTGGCATCACTTTGCGTACGATCTAAATTGAGATAACAATAGGCTGATAATGTTCTTAAAAAACAAATGTTCGTAATTGTTTGATATGCCACTACTTTTCAAAATAAAAATTGTTTTTAATTTAGATACCAAAGTAAACCTAAATTTACGCTAACTTACATGCTACTTATTTTACTGCCACAATCATCAAAATATTCAAATAGTTGATTGTTTTTCTTATTTATATATTCATTTACTCATATCACACCTTTTTTGGTATATTTATGATATATTCTATATCTCAAAACAATAAACTTCTATTATGATCTCGAAAGCCTGCCACCGAAGAAATATTTTAGCCAGCATTACGTAGTGCCGTTACACGTCGATGGCATGATAGTGGGCTGTAACGAAGTGGCCAACGAATCGAACGTGCTGCAGACCGATGCGTTTGGATTCATTCAGCACATACCAACACCTTTATCAATGGCAGTGGACAACGCTAAGGCGGCTCGCCGGAAACCAAGTGTGATAATGTTCGGCATTGACAGCTTCTCAAGGATTAATCTAAGACGCACCATGCCCAAAGTTTACAAGTACCTGACACGTAAGGGTTGGTATGAGATGCAGGGCTACAATAAGGTAATAAGCATATGTGAGACAAGTGTTGCTTGTAAAAATATATCAATCTTGTATTCAGGTGGCTGACAATACCTTCCCCAATCTAATGGCCATTCTCAGTGGCTATTCGCCTGACACGGCCAAAGAGAAAATTTGTGATACGAACAAGGACGGCTGCTTTGATCGATTTCCATTCATCTGGAAATATTTGAAGAATGTAGGATATTTGACGGCCTACGCGGAGGACTCCGTTGGCATGAACACATTTAATTATTTAAAGCCGGGATTTTCAACACAGCCCACAGACTACTACTATAGACCCTTGCTGAAAGCCTTTGATGGCGAGATGAAAACTTGGAAATGCGAAAAATGCTCATTAACATATTGCATCGGACGACGGATCCACAGTAGCTACGTTTATGACTATGCGAAAGAGTTTACCAGGCGCTATGTGAGCGAGCGACCCATTTGGGGTCTATTCTGGTCGAGCAGTTTCAGTCACGACGACTCCGAGATGCCCTCGATGATGGAGGATTATGTTCTACAGTATCTACTCGACTTTGAGGCGGATCGTGTGTTTGATGAGAGCATTGTGATATTTTTCTCTGATCACGGCGCCCGCTATGGCAAACTAATGAACCTGGCCAGTGCTTACCTAGAAGAGCGTTTGCCCATGATGTTCATCTACTTGCCGCCCTGGTTTCGAAAACAGTACCCGGAGTATGCTAAAGCCCTAAAGACAAATCGTAATCGCTTGACATCCAACTTCGATCTATATAATACACTCAAGCACATCGCTGAACTAGGCGGTGATCCCCATTCTCCACCATTGCCAAAGGCTAACGATTGTCCCAGCTGTCAATCGTTGTTCTATCCAGTGAATGAGGTTCGTAACTGTTCGGAAGCCGGCATACCCGAGCACTATTGCACTTGCAAGCCGTATAAAACGATCAACTATGATTGGTCGGATCGTATAGCTGGCCGAGTCATCGAGCGAATGAACGATTATCTATGGGCCAAGAATCTGAGCAGCCTCTGCCATAATCTCACTCTAGACTATATACATACCACGCAATTTAAAATCGGACTAGAGCACGATTTTCACGGAGAGCTGCCACAGACGGAGACTAATGTCTATCGCACCAAGTTCAAAGTGAATCAAAATAGCGCCGACTTTTTTGCAACTGTTGTTTACAATAATGTCACCAATAGCGTGGATGTTGATGTGGAGTCCATCAGCCGCACAAACTCCTACGAAGAAGACTCAACCTGCATTCAGGATAAGATTGCCAAACTGTATTGCATATGCTTTTCAGATCTTAAATCATAATACTGAATTCTAGTCCAATCGAGACTAGAGACGTAAGCCTATATATAATTTAGTTCATAGTAGAAAACAAATATCAAATTATTATTATAACAAAAGGTCTAAAGAGGTGGGAGATATAACTCTATAACTATTGATAACAAAAAATTGAAGTTGTTATAGATTTCTGAAAACAAACTCGAACCGCGTGTGAAATATATGGACCTACTAAAAATTCCAACTCTCTAGCTCTTAGATCTATGGAGTTTGTCACGCCTCCCTCTGCCACTTACATACGTTTAACAAAACCAATATGCCCTGGGCCCAATGAAGTGGAGAATCCATTGATAAAAGTACAAAACCTCATTTCCTCATAGTGTTTTATTAAAATGCACTTTTCATGTATGGACGAGTATAAATAAATGTTGTAGATACTGGAAACACACTCATGCGAAGGGGTACCTTGAACCAACTTACATACCTTGAACATATATCACAATGTTACTATTAATTTTATATTATCTTCAGTTGTTTAGTTCGTTACAAACTTTTTAAAATTAAAAATCTTTATTTACTTCATGTATCATGTAATTTTATAGTTATTTTACTTATCTAGAAACGACTACTCTACTCTTTCAACATATGACATGTGTATTACTTATCTAATTTTTGAACAGTTTCTATGCGAAACGTTATATGTGTATATATATAACTTCAGCAGAACGTGCCCAGCTGTGGGACGTTCTTCTCGATGAAGTCATGCGGGTCACAGCAAAAGGTTAGGCCTGATTCCCTCTTCGGGATGAGCTGCAGCGACAGAGGACACGCCACTTGACGGCAATTCGGTGATGGGGTCCTCGAGTCATGGATATTGTTGTAGGTGAGAATAGCGAGACAGGTGTCAGCGTCATCGGTAATGAGCTTGTACAGCCATTTGGGCACGGGATTGCTATTGCGAGCGCCCAGATAAATATCTGTCAGCTGACCTTGGCTGTCCGGCAGCTGGAGTACGCCCAATGCACCCGTGCACACATGGAGCGCCGGGTAGATGTCGTTTGTGAGCTGCTTGCGTATCCAGAACTCGATCGATTTCCAGTTGCTGCGATTGATGCTCCGGAACTGAGCCACAATATTGATGTACTTGAAGGTTTGGCGCATATATTGCTCAAAGCCAAAGTCCAGAGAGGGCGCCAGATGGCCACGATCAAAGACCAAATCACGCGCAGAGTTAACGTACGCCTGACCTTGGCCGAGCAGCTCCTTGAAGCGCTTATATATGTGCTTGTTTTGGAAAGTGGCGGCCGCAGCCCCGCTAATGATGCCATCTGTGGTGAAGGTCTGGGCAGGTCGACCGCCTGCAAGAGACGCCACCATCAGGCTGGAGTCGCTTTGGAGATCAGCTTACTTACTCAGCTTAACGGGATAGACTAAATGTTTGACAAAGTGCGCTCTTTGATTGGCAGCATCAAAACAACTTCTGTAGATCTCCAGAAACTCGTCGTCGTTCAGCCTATAGCCCACACGGTACGTGGTATATGGACAATGACTATCGACGACTACTTCCACGGTTTCCTTTTCCGAATTACTGCAATTGCCCAGGGCCGCCAGCGACGGCTTGAATCGTCCATTGGGCTGGCAAATGATGTCCGCCATATCCTGGGAGCTGCAAATCATATTCAACTTTTGGTGGGTATGCACCACGTCCACACGTAACGGATATATCCGGTTATTGGCCCTAAATGCGAATATGCGATTTGTCTGAGATACATCCGCAGCGCCAAGTTGGCAATCAGCGCCAACTCGTGCAACAACTGAAAACAACTTGTTGTATGTAAATTTCAATAAACCGTATTCAAGTTGAATACTCACATAAGAGCACGCATAAACAAAGCGTTTTGTTCATTTCTCGGGCTACACACAACTGATGAGCGCTTGCTCTTGATCTCGACTGTGAACCTCAAGAAGACCCCGAGAAACAAATTAAATACAGAGACCAGCTGATGAATAATGCTGTGAGCAACCGATAACGAAACTATGCGAGACGCAAAAATAAAAGTCGGAATATACAATTTAAGAGATAACATATGTATATATCTCTCTCACATTGGCTCGGCACGAAGAGAATATTGACTTTCTATTGTTGAACTTGAGCTGACTCAAGTTAATGTATTCACATTTATTGACACTGAGCGAGGTATTTTCTAGTCGACTCTCTTGTTTATTTTCTCGTCATATCACCCGTTTGCACTTTAAGCTGCTCGTTCGCGTGTCTTGGCATTCATAAATTGCCATTTCAATGTGTCGTCGACACTTCAGAGCGCGGGTCATCGCTGATAAGGGAGACACGGCAAGGGGTTGGGCTGCGTTGGCTCTTAGCAGAGGTGAGGCTGACGCTGCAGTTGCAGCTGCGACTGAGGCACCGACTGAGGCTGAGGCTGACAGTCTGGTTTTATGCATAGAAAACGCCAAGCCCCTCATTGCTTATCAGTGTTTATTATCAGAGCTCGACAAGTGGAAATGTCGGCTGTGCTGTTTGTTTGGCTGCCACATTGAAGCGCACACACAAACATCGCAGCTACCCCCACCCCAAGGCAGTTATGAGTGCCATGACAAAAGGGGTTGCCGTGCAGCACACATACATTTTTAAGCTGCGCTCGCTGTGTGCATTGCATTATATTATCAGCACCCATGCAACTTATCTAAAATTGAATCTAAGGTGTAGCAAAATAAAAAGAAAAAAGAAAGAGAAATGCGGAAAGAAAGCAAAAAATAATATAAAGTAATAAGAAACGCGCACTTGAAACTATTCGCTGGGTCAGCGTATCTCAGCTGTAAGGGCAGCCCAGTCAATCAAGTTTCTGGGACAGCCAACTCTTGGAGCTGCGCGTGTGGCGCTTGGCACTTGATTTTTATCTGAACAATACGAGTATTAGCTCGACATCAGCAGAAATACTAAAGCTAAGATTAAGTGTAATATGGAGAGAATTTTATGTAAAATGTAGAAGTATTTTATTTACTCAATTAAATTGTATTTTAAATGGTAAAATATTTAACACCAAGTTCAACCACCAAGAGCGAACTACATTTATTTGCCAGCATGTGGCGTCGCCTTAAAACTGGGTCAGGCGAACTAGCGAGAGCTGCTCTTTGGCACTTAAATGCATTTTTATTTCACACATATTTAGCCACAATTATTTGGCTGTATTTTATTGCGGCATTGCAGTGCTGCCATGGCAGTAATATTTTATCGCATTCCAACGGCAAGTAAATAGTAGATCGTTTTAAACTAACTAAAAACTAAAGTAGTTTATATCTATGCAAACCAAACAATAAGCTCAACTCAAAGAGCCTTATGGAAGAAAGTTACGTTTTCTTGAAAGTTGCAAATTTAAGCTTTTACTTTAGTATGCTGTCTACTTTGTAGAGCTGTATGCTTTGTGGGCTTGCCGACTGTTTGCGAAAGAAAAACCTTTGGAATGAAATAAATATGAATTCGAAATCGCCGAGTGAACGAAATATAAAGAGAATATATATACATATATCAAACGTATTTCTTTTAGGCAGCACTAACTATTATTCCATGGCAATAATAGTCAGCATAGAAATACATTGAGTGAATGTGTCCAAAGTGGCCAGGATTTCTATGCAACTCCAGCATAGTTCTCTTTTCCATCAAAATGGAAAATACTTGGAGAAAAGGAAACCATTCCATATCCAAGCAGACAATGGACAGAGGATTTGTTATGCAGATGATTTTGCAAGCAACCAAATAGACAATAAACAAACGTTACGTGTGCTAAGGGGAACAACACTGCCTTTGGCATGCCTCTGGGGAGTACGAGCGATGTGGGAGCCGTAAATGCAATTTTCAGGTAATTTGAAGGCATTTCAACGGCCCGTTATGAACGTCAATTGTGCTACATGAAATCATAGAATGAATGAGTGAGAATGATCAATAAAAATAAAAATAATACAAAAGGCAAAAAGGCAACTAGCACTATAAAGCAATGAAATCAACCGCAAGCTGCCGCATAAATGAAATTATGCCGCAGTGCAGAAAGTATTTTCGAGTGTGTGGGTGTGGCTAAGTCCAGCACACACACACACACACACTCACATTTATAGGGCCGGCCATTCGATTTGCGTGTTTACAGCAGAATTACAACTGTTAGGTTTTATGCGTGCTCAATAGACGCGAGTGCGTCCAGGAGGCGCAAAGTTATGCTGCAGTTTTATGGGCAAGCAGAGCGACGTACCCACTGTCCACGCCCACACACACACACACCAACACACAGATATTCTCAGTAATCTCACAGTGGACGAATTAAAAGGCAACAGCAGCGCTGCCAGCTGAATAATTTATTCAATGTCTGCTTTTAGGCGCACCAAAGAGCGACAGCAAAGGCAACAACTGGCACTTTATTGCACACCCTCACACACACACACACACACAGACACACACCTTTGTTCCAGCAGCTGTTTAAATTGCCACTGCCGTAATTTATGAACAGCCACTGAATGACCATTTAAAGTCCGAAATTCTGAGGTAATCAAATGTTGTTTCAGTTGTTGTTATTGCTGTTGTTGTTGTTGTTGTTGTTATGGCTTCAAGTTATACGATTCATGAAAATTGATTTGCTGAAAACTGTGTGTTGTGCTTGCCTTAACGGAATTAAATTGAGATTTTCATAAATATTCGTTTAAGAGCTATGTATGTATATGCACTTCATGCAGAAATGTGAATATAAAAGGCTTTTGAAAGCCAAAATAAAATATCAGTTTATGATTTTCTTTGAGCAAATACCTGCAAATATTAATATACCCTGTAGGTACACAAATGAACAAAGCGGCTATGTTGAATTTTTTTTTTGGCTTAATATTCGACTATGCTAAAAGATGGGAAACTGAGCTAAAAGTATTTGGCTTTTCTTAATTATAAGAAATTTTCATGGCATATATAGGGTATGAAATATATTGTCTTATTGCATCTGATTTAAGTATTAAAGTATTTAAAGAAACAATATCCATTGAAGTCATTTGAAAGTCAGTGTTTGGACCTGGTGCTCGTCCTCTTAAATAATTCAAACAGTTAAATAAAACATAAAGAAACTAAAGACTGAATGTTACACACATACAATGAGCTCTCCGAAATGAAACATACTAACTGGCCAGGCCCTGTCAGAGCACTAATTGGAATGCATGCATCAAAGCAAATGTGGCCTATAGTTGGGCAGCAATTGTAACTGGGTTCGAGTGCACACACAGCATGAGACAGAACCGATGGGATATTACTATGTAAAGCCGTTTGCATTGTTGGCTTTTCACATTTGCACATTGGCAACCTGTTTTCATGGGTTGCTTGCCAGCTAAGTCCACACAAAGTATTGTGCTAACTTTAATGGCTTAGTTGGGCCCAACTGCGCCAGCATAATTTATTTTTACTCAAAGCGCATTATTCAGCTACGATTTTAAGCCATGTTTTGCATATGTTTTTATTTGTGGACGACAACACGTACAGTAGCATTTGGGCTTTGCATTGATTTCGCTCATGTTGAACAAGCGAACAGCAATAACAGTGAAAACACTTGTTAGTTATATTGTATTAAATTGTCATAATGTCGTCGAAAAGCCACACAACATTGCGTATACGCAATGCGCGCGTCAGTGTGCGAGTCTCTGTGAGTATTCAATGATATAAATTTATATACGCCAGCTAAGTCCCTTAACGGCACTAAGGACATGCCTTCTATGGCCCACAGAATGGCGGCCAAACTAATACATGAACATGCATCACCCCCATCACCCACATACAGGAGCTCAAAGCGTTACGTGCTCTGCTCGACGTTGGCCCATTGCAGGCATTGAGCCCAAGAAATTTGTGCTTGTATTCGGCAAGCAGCATTCGTGGCCATGTTTAGCGTTAAGGCAGACCATCTCGTAGAGCTAGTTGCTCGAGCGAACGTTCGCTGTTGGCCCCCAAATGTGCGGTAAGTAGCGCTTAAAAGCAGGCCGAAACAGGCGTGTCTTTAATAGCCTTTCAACTCGCACGCATATTCAAAACATTCACAATCTAAATGCACATATATTTATAACAGCCCACTTGAGCAGTGCGCTGTGGGACCGATAAAGTTCTTAAACAAGGATTCAAGTGGTTCAGGCCAGGCGTATAAATTGTTCGTGCAATGTCGCTAAACGCTTTAACAATTTCATGCGCCAAGCACTTAACACGACCCAGAGGTCAAAGGGCATGCCAACATGTTTGACAAAGCTAAGCCATGCCAATCTTCTCAAATGCCGTGCTTATGTATCTGATAGCAGCCCAGAGAGATAGAATTATGTATCGCTTAGTTCTTTTCTGGGAAACGTATTATTTTATTGTCCTTTTTTTTTTTTGAGTAGCTAACCTTTCTTCTATCGCTCAATGCTGTTGTAATATTTAACGATTAATAGGTTCAGTTAATGTTGCGCGAAATAACCGGGAAAATGGGAAAACTTTTGCATTACTGTGGCCCAGGCTTAGAGCTAAGATTTATAAATGACCCGCGGCATTTAGGGCAAACAACATGTAGGCGACTCAAAGTCGGTGTCGCAAAAGTTAAACAAGCTGCGTTCTGGCCGCATTTATCAAAACAACTTTTTGGCGGAATCAAAATTAATCCGGAAGTGATTTAACTATCACTTTAAATGTATATATATAGATATGTATGTGTGTATATCTAAACCCATATACTCTATTGCGTATAATGTTTTGAGGCAACGTGTCGTATGCGCAACGTTACGTATTATTATTTATTGATTTTATACGGACAGCTAGGGCTTTTGTGCTGTGGCAGCAGCTGAGACTCTCTAACTGTGGTTAAGGTGTCAGCATCAGCAGGTGGCATAGTCGAGCTACCCATGGCAACTACGATTCGATTTGACATTTATTAATTTTTGTCGCTCACATTTCACTCAATATATTGCTTGTATAAGTATTTAAGCTCAAAAGTTCTCAGCTTAACTACATATGCGCAGCGCTTGCTGGATGTATTTTATTAAAGCAAATATCATCATTAGAAGCACACACACACCCACACACATAGCCACACATGAAATGGCGCTCAAAGGGAAGCAGCTCCATTACATGCCTGTTTGCATAGCCTCAATTTGAGGAGCAATTATCTTGGTTGTAACTTGCCAAAAAGGGAGCTAGCAGCGGATAGGCAGACAATTTGATAGACAAAGCAGGCAGGCATGTCCTGGCACGCTCTGCACACTATCCTTTTGCCTTTGCGCGCGCCGTCAAGGAATTACGATGATTTGCATAATTTTAGCGCACCTTCAATGGCAATTGAGGGCCGCTGCTGCTGCCTCTGAAGACGGCACAACAAAGAGCGTTTTCTACTCGACTTTTTGCATCTATATATATATATTTTGTTTTTTTTTTTTGCCATGTCTCTGTATGTGTGTGTGTGTTTATCTGGCTTGATTTTATGCTGCCTCCGTTCCTCTTCAGTATTTTCTCTCTTTTTTTTTTTTTTGGGCCAACAGTAGCCTACATTTTTGTAACTGATGTGCTGCGTTGCCCCTCAGCTCGGATTCAGTTTTTCCAGTCTTTTATCTCTGTGCCTGATCGAAATTGCTTTTGTGGTTGCTGCCGCTGCTCAACTCGAGTTGTTGCTGTTGTTGCTGTTGCTGTAGTTGTTGGTGTTGCTGCTGTTGCTCTTGCTTGATTTTTCAAGCATGTGTGCAGCTGTTTCGACGGCCTTTTTCCTGCTTATACTTTTTAGGCCATTTTGCAATACTTTGCCTTTTTTGGTTTAGATATTCATATCAGCTACTATTATAGCCATTTTCCGCTAAAACTCCGACTGATTGCCGCCTTGTGGCTAACACAGACAGCCGCAACAACCGCAATGTGTTTATACCCTGCAAATTGCAGTCATCGGGTGTAATGCATTTCAAGACAATTTAAAATAATATGACTAACAAAAATATTTCAAGTTAAAGTTTACATGAATAACATATTATTTTAATATTAATATTTAATATATAAAGAGTTTATTTTTTATTTAACTGCTGAGTATCTTATAGCCAACTTAACACTCGTTATATTTGTTTTTGTGTTTTCCCACTTCCTCCTCTTGAATTTTTGTTGGCCAGCAATTCGGATGCAAATAGCCGCTGATTTGAATATAATTTTTAAGTTGGCTATTTTTAAGAGATCCAATTTGGATACGCTTCCGATTAGTGGAGACCCTTGAGTTAAATAATCCATGAGGCTTATATTTATGGCAGCGGCTGCAATTAAATGATGCCAGAGGAATTGCCATTTCCCCATTCAGCAACGCAATCACTTATGCTTGATAGGTTCAAGTATTTGTATGGCTCATATGTTATATGTATGTATGTATGTATGGGTTAGAGTTTATTTGTATATGTAAAACGTTTTAGCGCTTCTCGTTGGCTCGTGGCGGTTGCATTTCCCGTTGGTTTTCAATTGTAAATATTTATTTGTACATTTCCTTGTGCGCTATTTACCCACTTCCGATGTACACACAGACGGGCAAGACATTTCTAAGGGTTTACGTTTTCATTTTCACTCGGTAACCACTTTTGAGACCAACTCACACACACACACACACACACATGAGCTGAGTAACTGCTGACCCAGACTCTAGCGTGAATGCAATTGCAAGCTACGGCGTTTCAGTTTCGGGTTTTGGCTTCGGTTTGACTTGTGCAAATATTTTGCAGCAATTTGCCGTGACCCCCTTGAGCCAAGGCCCACTGGGCAGCCTGTGGCTCGGCTCTTGAAATGAAAATCGTAAATGTCCTATTTCGCTTGACATATTTATATCACGTCTTTAGCTTTTCCATTTCACACAATCAAAATGACTTCTACAAAGGCAAAAATCTCAATATTCAAGCTTTACCGATTGCAAGTTCAGGAACAAAATAAATAAGCCGATTAATACTCGTCGCTCGACTTGCGCTAAATGTAATCAAATTGCTATTGAAGTGCAGGCCATGTCAAAGGGACACTAGAAGCCGTTACAGATTGTAGCATCAGCTAAATGAATTTACTTGCATTAAACCGTAAAGAGCCTACAGACTGCATGCGTCATTTAACGGCAATTTAAATGGTCAGGATTTTTATTGGGCAACTGTATGAATATCACAGCGTTCAGAAATGTCCAAGAGCCATGCAAACTGAAGGATTTGCACTTGCAATCGGCGATGCTGTGAGGCGCATCATAAATTCTTAATGGCTCGGCACGCATTGCAGCTGCAGCTGCTGCAGTTGCAGTCGCATTTAAAATTCAGTTGAAATGCAAAAATTCTCGTATATTATTTCATTTTTATCTTTTATCGCAATCACAACGCATTTCAATAAAAATCTCCGCATGGCGAGGGCCGTAAATATGTCCGAGCGAATCGTAGGCCTTTCGCATTAATAATTACTTGTCGCAGCACGCCCACTGACCCCCTGACTGTCTGCGCCTTCGTCTTTCTTAAGCTGGTCATTAACACTTGGTGCCCAAGAATGTTTGACTGGAGCGCGTAACGCCAACTGTGTTCCTGCTACACCCACACACACATATACACACATATATATACTCCTTTGAGAAGCCTTGACATGCCTTTAAAGTTCATTTCGGCCGTCTCTCTTTCTGGCTATTTCGCTTGCTTCGACCAGGTATGCTTGATAATGGCGGTGAAATTAATAAATTACCAACATATTTGTGCAACAAATTAATTACATTCTTGTAGGTATTCTGACCTACTTTCATTGTTTTCGATTGTTTACTTTCGGGTGGGCAGGCATGCGATGTAAATACACGATAAAATATGGTTAATTAAATTTATGTTTGCTGCAATTGTGTTAAACCCTTTGAATGCACTTATTGATTATTGATACAATGACTGATACAAATAAATCTGTTTATAGAAAGTATCCTTGAATTTGGTTTGTAAACAGTTTATCTCTGCACTCCTTGAGGTAAAATTAAATTTGCTACCTAATGTCATTCTGTCCAATTCAAATTTCTTGGCAAATAGTCCAGCTGCACTTAACCTAGTCTAACACGGCACCTGATGCTCACCTTGGTTGTTGTTGCTATTTCTCTTGCTGTTGAGCTGTAGCTTTTGTGTCGACACGCCTCTGGGTCGTCTGTCATCATTAGGATAATTTATCATGCGGCAAATCTAGCATGTCCAAGTGGCCGCCATCAGTTCTTGCCCCCATTTCTCATACAGCAATTGCAATTTCTTAATAAACGTTTTAATTAAATGAAACCCAAAAATCCAGGCCACTGACACACAATTAATTTAATAGTAATATTTAAGGCAAACGCATAGTTTGCCACTTTATGACAGACGCATAAAATGTTGCATGTGGCAGCTGTGGCTGTTGCTGTTGTTGTTGCTGTTGCTGTAGCTGCGCCGTCTGCTTTCAATTACTGAAGTAAATAAGTAATTTGCCTTTAAATGTGTATATGCTAGATCCTTTATAACAATATTGCGAGCCATTAATTAAATACAAAAGCTCCGCGATTATTGCGTGTCATGAGCGCGACCTGCCCGACATGCCCCGCCTTCATTCAGTCATTCATTCATGCCCTTGGCCTGGGGCAGGAGACCTGCGTCAGTCTAAGGATGCGGCCAAAGGCGAGCGTTGCAGACAATTAATTGTTGCGTTGTGTATTCATTTTGGCTCTTTCAACATTTCATCTGCACTTGTCAGCCGCTTTTGTCATCAGTCGGCCCCGGCTCGGCCCCCCTTTAGCTGCTGTCTTATGATGAATGAGTTATTTCACCATGCGGCTGCGCTGCACCAGAATCTGCCACCGCCCCGCGCATTGCCGTCTGCCATCAATTTAATCCGCTGAGTATTAAGACACTTCATGCCATTCAAGTGCAGCTCAGGCTTCAAGCTGAGTGCGACCAGAATCGCTTAGTTTTATAATGAGCTTACCTGAGGCACTTAAGCTCATGGCAAACACATAGAGATAAGGCAATTCTCGATTTCCATAGCCAGCTAGCTCCTAATAACCCAAATAATGACTATAACATTTCCCATGTGTCTTTACATTCGGCACCCATGTGAGCAAGTCATAGAAATTGAAAATTCCGATTATAAATTGCTGTCAGCCAATTAATGTCAAATGCCGTGATATGATAAGTGCGCCTGTCATTCAGTCACTCAACGGATCAGTCCCCCAATCACACACACTGACGAAGCGAGGCATTTGGATGCGCATATTCGATTAGAGGAATCCCAGCACACGTTCAGGCTCGGCTCGGTGCGGCTCGGCCCCGCTCGGAACTTTTCCAATTTATTATTTCATTTATTTACCAGGCCAACTTACAAATCCCTCATTCCGGGCCATTTTGGCCGACGCATTGCGGAAAAAGCGTGTGTAAATTATTGCTCACAATTTAAGCGGGAACGATGAACAAAATCTGATTTAAGTTCACGTAAAAATCTGACAAAGTGCGACAGCTGAAATCCCATGGGAATTTACATAGTTACGCCGTGAACAGCGCGACGCAAAGAAATGAGTATAAAGAGCTGATCAAATATCTGATTTAACTGCAAATATTTTACGAAATTAAATGGAATTTGTGTGTGGAGAAATGCACTACGGACTGTATATATTGCTTGTAAATTTTTAATTTTTGCGATGCAAAGGGAGATACACAATTTAAAATGAAAGTGCTCAGACGGCTGATTGAGGACCGATGCCTAACACAGTGATTGAGTCAATTTCAGAGTGGGTCCGCTTGGTGCGCATAATATGGAGTGTGGATTTGTGGCTATTGCCGTGGGGCTACGACCTACCAGGGTGGCAACAAACGTATTGGATCATAGTTTTGGCGCTCCCAGCGTGTCCAGTGTACAATGAGCTCTTTTTTGGATTTAGGCGAGGCCGCATGCCTAACAGACTGCGGCTGCTCCTGCTGCTTCCTGTTTGGCTGCTGCATCTGTTGCACTTTCGGGCTATTGTTGGCTTCTCGCTTCACCGGACTCACACATTTGGACTCTAGAGCGAAATGAGCTCCCCTTACAATGCAATCCGATCTACGGCAATGCCTTATTACTGCACTTACCCATCCTTACGCGCTTCACTCCCACAGCATTTTTGACACACTTATCGAACTGGCGGCGACGCATTTTGCCTAGCAGAAGATTTGTACACTTATTTCTTGAGTTTCTTACATACACTTAATAATTTGAATAGGCATGTGCTGTCCATATGAATTGACTCAAAATGCTTGGCAATTCATGACTGTCGAATAATTCACACACTGCTTGACACACATTGGCCCACTCACACACATACACACACACACACACTCACACACTATTGTGATTCTTGAGAGACTTGTTATACATCCATCAAATTGAGCATTGTTATTATTCAAAGTACTTACATTTACACTTGAGCGCAAGAGCAATATTCTAGCTAAGTGCGTGCGATACTTGTTATCCAGTGGTTTTTTGTCATCCTAAAGAGCAACAGCGCAAAGAAATGGCGCCAGTCAGATACAAAAGAGAACTCCGCAGTTGCTCGCTCACACCCACACTCACACATACAAAATCCATTAACTAAAGTGTCAATTTAGTGACAAAGATAAAATGTCATATGCAACACACACACACACACGCACAAGCACAGGCATAAGCCCATGGCAAATACTTGTACAGGAGCAAAAGTGGGTTTTCAGACAATGATTTTTTTCATACTCTAAATTGAGGAGAAACGAGAAACGTTAAGCAAGAGAGAAAGCCTATATATAAATAAAATATACAAAAATAAACTAAATTAAATTTAAGCTAAATAGAGAAGTGAATGGCGAAATAAAAGCATGCAAAGCGACCTGCGACACTTGATTAAATAAAGGAAATGAGAGAAAAATATAGAAATGCAAGAGCTAAAACCAGACAGTAAGATAAACATCGATAATTAAAATTACAAAAAAATAGCAATTCCAGCATGTTCTATAAATATTAAATCAAATATTTACGAAACTCTCTCAACTGTCACAATGCTTTAAGTATTTGTAGTCATATTAAAAGTTTGCACAGCTTTATGCGAATGCTCGCATGCCCTTCCTCAGTAGAGCATCCAGACAGAGACGGAGAAAGGCAGGCGAAGGTAGATGGAAGATGGAAGAAGAGCTCTGAGCAGAGCAGCTGAACAGAATGAATTGCAGTACTTTATATTGTGATTTTTTTCTGTGTCTCGAGTTTTGTTCGCTTGTTTGTTTATCTTTACTGTTGCTGTTGTTGCTGCCGCTGTTGCCGCTGTTGCTGCTGTGTTGCTTTAGCTGATGTAAAAGGATTTTTGGATAAAGTTGTTCGTATGGTTGTTGTTTGCTTTGTGTGCTCCAATAACCTGTTACATGTCACGTTCTGCTGTCATTTTTTCATGTTTTAGTCACATTACGCATACGCCGCATACGACTGTGGCATTTTTCCTCTGTTTCCCTTTCGTTTCTTCTCCTTCTTTCTTTTTTTTTGTTGTTTGTTAATGGATTTTAAAAGCGTAAACTGTTTGCTTTGCATCTGACAATGAAGTTTTAACAAACACGAGGACATGCAAGCTCCATGACAGTCTGCCAAAGTGGCCACAAGTCGTGCGTGCAGCAGAAAGGTGCCAAAGTGGAAATGCGCACAAAAGACGTCAGCCGCAAATGAAAACCGTTACCGTTACCGTTACCGTTGCCACTGCCGTTCCCACTGCCGTTCTCCTGCCCGTTCGCGTTCCTGTTCCTTCTCCCGGTGCCCTATTCCCATTTCTCGATTTTCGTTTCTTGTTTCAGACGCGCTGTGAAGTTGCGCTTAATGTATTGTCTTGCAGCCATTTTATATGCAACGCAACGCGCCACAAAGTGCAAGTCAATACAACGAAGACGCTAGCTGAAGTTGCCACAGCAACTTCTCCCCAAAGCCAATCTTCTCAGTGCATGCCACTTTCAGTTCCAGATGAAACGTTTCGAGCGAAATTCAGCACCAAAGCAAACATTTTCTTATACTTGACACACACACGCATACGCACGCACGCACACATACATATACATATACACAATACACACGTATGCACATGTCTGCTTGTGAAGCGCCAGAGCCAATGTTTGAGGCAAGCGCTTGGTTTTATGCAAAGTTTGTTGAATTGCATAAACTACACTCGAACTTGTAGCTGGGCCTGTGATGGATGTGGAGCACATGTTGCAGATACCGCATAATGGCAATCAAAATCGTAGCAACACGATTTAACTATATCGTACATCTCTATATCGACTGCTTCAGATGAGCACCGACCAACGCTGGAATCTCAGCAAACTTCGCACTAATTCACGTTCCATCGATAGAACTTGATTAAAATCTCTCTGCCGAATCACTTGCACTGCTCAAACTGCATAGTTATGAAGGCAGAAGCCGTACTTTAAGACAACAGCAAAATGCAAGCAGCGGAAAATCGAGAAAAGTTGGCAACTTTGAGATTTTTCATTTTCATTTCATGCCTGCTATCGGAAGTCTGTATTAAAGTTGTAGTAAAAATCATTTTTCTATTATTCATAACTAGATATTAAAGCTTATTAAAATATCACAATATCCTTCAACGACCTTGCTGATGGAAAATAGTTGAAAAAGTGAATCGAAATAGTTAAAAAGTCGCGCTGCCTCAGCTTACATTAACTTAATCTAGTTTTTTTTTTTTTTTTTTCATAAACTAAAGCTGAATTCAAGGTATTAATTTTTCACTAGCTGGCAGCCTACATAGGAGTTTATTAGGGCCACGTCCGAGCTCGGTTGGCGCGGCCTCAACTGAGTCACGCACATTTTTTAAACTTTAGACAATCCTCACACACACACACACACACACACACACACACACAAACAGATAGAGGCGACGCTCAATTATTCAAAGCGGCAAGGATACGGCAAGCGGCTGGACAGATTACACCACGGTGTGGAGGCTGCGCGGAACTGTGTACATGGCCATGGAAAAAGCCTAGACACGGGTAACCAGTTGGGCGACATTGACTAATGTTGATATGACGTCGTCTTTTTTTTTCCCAACACGCCTGATGGTTTATTTTTGATATGTGCACGCTTAAGCTTTGCATATGTGTGCCAGTGTGTGTGTCTTTTGTGTGTGAGCGTGTATATGAGTGGCATCAGCTCGAGGACGCTTGAGTCGATATCTCTTGTGTACCAATTGCTGTTGCTGTTGCTGCTGCTATTGCTGGTGTTGCTGATGCTGCTGTCGCCGCTTGCCAATTTGCTAACGCTTGACGGCTGGCGTGGGCTTCTATTACTTTTATTCTATCTGTTGTGTGCTCATGGATGTGATACGTGCGATAGACGTAAAGGATTTGCTTTGATGATGTTATCCCTAATGGCGTTCGCCTCGCTTGCCTTCCGCACTCTTTTTCCGCATGCCGTTTGACAAATGATTGCAGATTTCACGCCACGCTTTAAAAATCTGCTAATTTTATTTCGCATGACAAAAGGGCCACAAGCAATATGTTTTAATTAGCAACATGTGACGCCCGACAGCACGCACCGCGAGTGCCGCAAAGCTTTACATTGTTTAATTATGCGAGCCATGGCTAGTACCAACACTAGCTGTTGGTCCGCAAGTTCGCCATAATTATTCACAATCACAAGCAGCAACAAAGCTGAGCAGCCAAAAAAAAAAAAAAAACTAAACAAACCCAAAAACTAAATTGGAAACGCATTAATTATTCGGTAAATTGACACCATTCAAGCCGATTATAATATTTGATATTCTGGCAAAATACCGAACACGGTTTGTGATTCTCGCCCCAATAAAATTCATTAAATTTATATTCAACTAGTCTAGTTTATCACTTAAATTATAATTGAATTTGCAGCTGGGCATTGGTATAGGTATTAGTATAGCATTTCTTCCAACAACAACAATAGCAATAGCAACAATTCAACAGCGGGCCCAGACATAACCGACCGCAATGTTGCATGCAACACATGCCGCAAGCGAAGAAATTGGGTCCTTTAGTACTTCAGCTGCTAACCTTGTTGACCACACATAATTTGACCCAGGCGTAGATGGACCAACTGTTTCCACAACATGACCTGCCTCCATCTCAGCCCCTTCTCACACGAATGCACTTACATACATGCTGTGTTTTGTCATAACCGATATTCTGAAATATTACGTATACGTAGCGCTGGGAAAACTGACTGGATGTGAACTCAATCGTTAACTACGTGAGGTAGGCACTTAATAATTGGCTCGTTGAGCTAATACTAGGCGGATACCTATGCTGCAGTCACGCCCCTGAGTAGTTGCTGCTAATTAAAGCTACAAAAATTTGTCTAGTCAATTAGCTGAAGCGCTGTTTAAGTGCAGCCCTCTGAAATTTGCGCGTATTTAAAATTTCAGGACTTGTTAAACCACTTACACGCATTCATGTAGTTTCTGTTTGTTGCCGTTGTTGTTGCTCTTGTAATGCATTTACACTAAACAAGCAGGCCATACACAAATACACACACACACGCATGCAAACACTTAGCCATACAAATATCAATTTCGGTTTAACATGCTAGGGGGAATACATCATAAGGCATAGCATGGACACGGGGTTTATATCGTAAATGTGAAGCTCGCTTCTCTTAAAGCTTTCTCTTTGTTCATTTAGCACAGCAAAAGCTCACGCTCTCGCTCTCTCTCTCTCTCTTTTTTAGCACATGTTTGGCACGTTCTCTTCGTTTGCGCCTCGTTGGGTGCTCACGAAAGCCGGGCCAACGACCACACAGTAGCCCTTCGCCTTCGCCTGTGCCATAATCTATGGCATAGCCGGCAGACAACATTGCTGAGTTAGTTACACAATGCTGTGGCACAGAATTATGCCTAGACATAATGCAGAAACTATGTAGTAGCATTTCCTTATCATTGGCCCGGTTCAAGTCTAGCCCAAGTAGCCGCCGCTAATCTCGTGTTTGCCAAGCAACCGCTAGTGCTCCTGCTGCTCCTGCTGATTCTGCTGCTCCTGCTGATTCTGCTGCTGTTGATATTGCCGCCTTGAGCTTAGCACATTTCTTTATTTGGGCCACGTGACATATGTATGTATATGCCAGCCGTTTGGCAAGTTTGTTGTGCGCTGAACTGTTTTGATATGCGGCTTGTAAATAATAAATACACGTTTCGTGCTGACTGCACAACTGCACATCCGCACATCCTTGAGATCGGGCGTTGTTTCAGTGACTGCCCCACGAA